AGATGTCCCTGATCACTCAACGGACGACGTTGTTGATGAGGACGAGTTTGCCGAAAATGATGATGTTTCTACGGATTATGAGAATGTATCCGAATGAATTATGTATGTTTTTATAAGTTTGTTTAATCAAAAAACCAAGTTCAATTAAGTATGTTTTATAAGTTTGCTTAATAACAAAAAAAGAGTTGAATTACGTATGCTTTTAAGCTTGGGATTTACGTGTAGAAGAGGTTAGGAGTTTAGTTGTAGGAGAGGTTATAAGTTAAGGAAGTTGTGGTTTGGGGTTTCGAGTTTAGGGAATTACAAACCCTTTCCTCGTAAAGCCCTAGTAATAGAAACACGGGCATAGCTATTTCCTCGTAAGCTTTACGAGGACTTTAAGAGGAATGAGTTTTGGTACTACGAAATTAAGAGGAACTAGATAGCACATTTACGAGGATCTTACGAGGAAAAAGTACTTTCCTCGTAAAGCCGTAGTAAAGAGTTTTGTTACTACGAAATTAAGAGGAACTAGATAGAAAATATAGATTTCCTAGCAATTTCCTAGTAAATTCTCAGATTCGAAAATTTCTATAAATACCACCATATGTGATTCATTTGAAACACACCAAACAAATAGAAAATACTCAATTCATAACTGAAAGGAGTTCACAGTCAACAGAATAGTTTCTTATCAACTCCTCGTAGCTTTTCCTCAAAGAAATAGCTTGGGGCTTTTCTTCAGGTAGATAGTTCGAGGAAAGCTATGTGGGGTTGATAAAAACCGTTCCGATGACTGTATACTTCTTTTAGTTTTTTTAAAAAAATTTGTGATTTGGGTTTTAGGAAGATGTATAGGTATAAGTTATGGAAGTTGGTTTAGGTTTAGGGATTTACAAACCCTTTCCTCGTAAAGCCCTAGTAACAGAAAACACGGGCATAGCTATTTCCTCGTAAGCATTACGAGGACTTTACGAGGAAAAAAACGCGGGCATAGCTATTTCCTCGTAAAGGTTTTCCTCGTAAAATCCTAGTGTTAATATTTCTAGGACCTTACTAGGACCTTACGAGGAAATGAAANAGGTTTAGGGATTTACAAACCCTTTCCTCGTAAAGCCCTAGTAACAGAAAACACGGGCATAGCTATTTCCTCGTAAGCATTACGAGGACTTTACGAGGAAAAAAACGCGGGCATAGCTATTTCCTCGTAAAGGTTTTCCTCGTAAAATCCTAGTGTTAATATTTCTAGGACCTTACTAGGACCTTACGAGGAAATGAAAACACGGGCATAGCTGTTTCCTCGTAAAGCCCTAGTAATATTACTAGAGCTTTACGAGGAAACAAAATTCCTTATATATACACGAACAATCCGACTTCTCAGTCATAGTAAGTTCCTCTCCATTTTCTCTTAAGGTACTCTCTAGTTCCTAGTTGGTCTTGACAATGTTGTCGGATCTAGCGTCACGGACTGTATCAAGGGATACTTTCCCGATGCAGCTCTAAACTGGAAGCTGACGGCGAGCCACACCAAAAAGACGTGGTTCAAATCGTTCGCTGTAAGTTTAGTAAATCAATTTAATTTATTTTTAATCATTTAAAATTATGAATTTTATTGAACTAATCCGTCTTTTATTTTTTCTGATTGCAGCAAAAATACCGTTGGTCTATTGGGATTACCAGCGGGTGAAGTCAGAGTTCGAGACCAAGGCAAAAGCACGATTGTGCGACATGGTCTACAACTGGAAGGGCGACTTTCAGTTATAAATTTAAAAATTATAATATATATTAATTATAGTTTTATTTAAAAATATATTTTATTGACTTTAATTCTAATTATTTCAAATCAGGTGAACGATTACGAGCGCGGGAAACCCGATTGCCTCACAACCACGGTGTGGGATGGCCTCATCAGCTATTGGATGTTGCCGGATTCGATCCGAACGTCCAATACAAACTCAGGGAACCGCATGGCCACGGACGAGCATGGCAACACGAAGATACTTCACACCACGGGCCGAAAGCCTCACGGGGGAGTTTGTCTAGACATGGTATTTTTTTATAACTATTAAATTTTTACTTTATTTTAATATTCTAATATTCTAAATTAATATTTAATTTAAAAAAAAATGAAGGCTAAAGAGACATGAGTTCTTCCATCTCTGAAAGACCTTTACGAGCGGACCCACCGGAGGAAGAGTGGGCAGTTTGTAGATCCTGCTTCCGAGCGGATCTACAACGAGGTTGCTGCCCGAGTTGACGAGCGCCAGACCCAGTTGACTCAGCAGACTGGGGCTCCGGTCGTATTATCCACTCTTGAAGTGGATAAGATTTACGAGGAGGTAAANGACATCGGCTTATGTTCACCAACAAGCCGATGACAATGCGCAGCTGCGGACGGAGTTGCAGGCGACGCAGTCTCATGTGCGTACGCTCACGGATATCCTCGACGTTGTGGCGGTTGGAAACCCGCAAGTGGCGGAAGTGTTGCGTCAGAGACGGGAAAGCGGAGCCCTTCCATCCCAAGAGCCTCCACCATCTCAGTCACAGCCGGCATCCAACATTGGAGACGACTTCGTGAACCAATTTCAAGACCAGCATCCTTTTTAGTTTTTGTTTTGTTTTTAATTGTATATTATGAATTTTAAAACTTATTAATTTTATATTATTTAGTTATTTATAAATATTTTTTATTTATTTTTTTTAATTTTTTTTAATATATATAATTTTAATTTATAAATATTTTTTTTAAAATAGGAAAAAATTGTTTCGAAGTTAAATCCTCGTAAAAGTTTCGAAGTAAATTCGTCGTAAACTTTCCTAGCAAGTTCCTCGTGAAGAGTCTACTACGAGTTTACGAGGAAATGATTTACTATGCCCTTACGAGGAAAGTATACGTGGAGCTTACGAGGAAATCTTTTCCACGGCTTTACGAGGAAACCTTTCCTCGTAAATTAGCTAGGCCTTTACGAGGAAAATAGGCTTTACGATGAACGTCTTTCGACGAAACATGTTTCCTCGTTATTTTCTAGTAAAGGGCCATTTACTAGGAAATAACGAGGAAAACCCGTCCTAGTAAAGGACGTGTTTTCTTGTAGTGTTCAGTTGATGTAGTTAGATGTGAATTTTCATAATGCAAATAGAATTATTGGTCGTAGAATCATCTGTAATTTTTTGAAATAATTTTTTAATTTTTATATTAAAAACTTATAAATAAAAGTTCTAGACCCAGAATGATAATATTTAAATTTGAGAAAAAATAGATGCTAATTCCTTTTTTTGAATTGCAACACGAAAAAATAAACTATGTGTTGTAAAAATAAAAAAAAACTGTGTAATATCTTTTTCTAAAGATATACACAAGCATAAATTATCCTTAATGATAGCTTTTCAATAGTATAACTAAATAAATTTTAAAATTATTGTATACAAATTGTAAAAAAAAATTTATCTTGAAAGATTCCTTATTTAAATATTGCAAATTATGAATTCATTGTACCAATCTCGAAAATATATTAGTAGGGAATAACATTAATAACAAATAAAACTATGTATCAACAAATTATTATGTATTAATAATGTCAAACCTAAATAATACAATTATAGGATTACATAATATATAATCATAAAATATAAATTATATACTTCAAAATATTTATTATAATATCAAAATTACACATTTATAAAATAAATAAAAAACAGCACAAATTCTAGTTTGTTTTTTTTGGATTTTTGCAAATTTGACTCAACTCAAAGTCAAATACAAAACTAACATTTCTTGTTTTGTGATTTTTCGTTTGTCTTATTCACTCCATATGTTCACATTATTTACGAAAATGCCATTACACTTTTTCTTTTCTTTTTTTTTGAAAATTGTTTTTTACTCTCTCAACCTCATCATCTTCAAGTATTTACAAGATTGACATTGCCATCAATACCCTAACTACCATGAACAACCAATTTGAAGCTCTTAATGCACATAAAATCGATTTACACTCTCTCTTTCTCAATTGTTATGAACTAAAAACATCTCTTTCACTTTGTCTCCATATTCATACAAAAAACCCAAGCTTTTGATTCAAAATTTTTCATGGTTGATAGAGCCATTTAAGCATACAATTCTTTGTGGGTTACTTTCAGTTGATATTCTGGGTGGTTGGAGAAGACTTTGTGTGCTAAGAAAGTCATCTCACCTAGTTTAAGGTATGAAATTGAAATTTTTTTTACTCGTAAGTCTTCTGGATGAGCTGGACGACTTAGTTCTAAGTCGTCCAACTGGATGACTTACTTCTAAGTCTTCCAGCTTTGTATGTTAAAAAAAAAAATCTGGACGACTTATAAGTAAGTCGTCTAGGAAAACGGGCTAATTTTGCATTTGATCGAATTGTGTCAGATATTTGACTTTTCCTGGACGACTTACTGGTAAGTCGTCCAAGAAAAGTTAAATATCTGACGCAATTCGGTCAAATGCAAAACTAGCCCGTTTTTCCTAATCGACTTACTTATAAGTCGTCTAGATTTTTTTTTTAACATACAAAGCTGGACGACTTAGAAGTCAGTCGTCTCATTTAAATTTCAATTGCAAAAATGACCTGTCAGGAAGACTTACAGTTAAGTCGTCTGGACGACTTACAATTAAGTCGTCTGGACAACTTACTTGTATGTCGTCTGCGTCAATGACTAATAATTAAGTCATCTAGAAAGTCTTCCAGCTGGATGACTTTCCAGACGACTTAATTATAAGTCTTCTACTAAGTCGTCCAGGCTTTATGAGTATGTATTAAGAATTTGTGTTAGTCTTCTCAGATGACTAATAATTAAGTCATCTGGAAAGTCTTTTAGCTGGATGTTTGATCTTCTTTGAATTTTACTAAGTTTTCTTGGTTGAATAGAGTGATAAAAATATTTGATCAAATCCCGTAATGTTTGATCTTCTGTGAATTTTNAAAGTCTTTTAGCTGGATGTTTGATCTTCTTTGAATTTTACTAAGTTTTCTTGGTTGAATAGAGTGATAAAAATATTTGATCAAATCCCGTAATGTTTGATCTTCTGTGAATTTTACTAAATTTTCTTGGTTGAATAAAGTGATAAAAATATTTTTTGAATTACTTGTATTTTTAAAAGTGTTAAATAACTTCATGATAGGTAAATCTCATATTTTCAAAATATTTTTTCTCCCTTAATTTTACTAAATTTGACTAAGTTTTTCAACACAACCTTGTAAAACATGTAATATGCTTTAACATTAATGATGATTTGTTGGAAGAAAGGTTAAAATTCTTCTTAAAATGTTGTATCAATACGAAGCTACCAACATTCTTGTTTATTAAGATGAGCAGAAGGACATTGTGATTTATTATTGCATATGGGAGATCCAAAAGATGAAAAAAGCTACTGAAGTCTATTATTTCATTGATTTGTATGTGTGTAAACACATTGTTAGCATATATATTACAACTTGGGAACTGATTTTACAAAACTATAATAGATCATTCTCTTACAAAGACAAGCTTGGACTCCACTTGATATGAAAGAAGACTGCGTCAGAAAACTTTCAGAAAGTCCAGACAACTTCCAGATAAATTCCAGACGACTTACAAGAATTCCAGATGACTTACAGGAAGTCCATACGACTTCCAGGTAAGTCTTCCCAGAAGTATTTCGAGAAGACTTACAAGTAAGTCGTCCAGAAGACTTACAAGTAAGTCGTCCAGAAGACTTACAAGTAAGTCGTCCAGAAGACTTACAAGTAAGTCGTCCAGAAGACTTACAAGTAAGTCGTCCAGAAGACGTACAAGTAAGTTGTTTGGTTTAAATTATTCAAGCGGGAAAATATTTTTTTAAAAAATTTTAGACGGGAATATTAGTGCGACTTACTTTTCAGTCGTCTGTGTAAAATTATTTACCAGACGACTGATATTTCAGTTGTCCAGACCCTAAACCCTAAACCCTAAACTAAATTGACTAAATTAACTAACTGACCACGTTATAAAATCAAATTATACTTAAATAGTGTTTACTATACACAGAAATAAACACACTTAGGTAAATTTTTAATTTTTCAAAAAAACATTCATGCTTTCGAAAATCTAACCCTAAGAAACACATACAATACTACAACATATATTGGTGAAACCTAAACTAAAGAATATCATGACTCACTACTTTCACTCATCTATGCCGAAAACAACTGATTTTTATTATATCTTAATTTATATCTCTTAAGACACATGTTAATTACATAATCCCAATTTTTCATTTATCAAGATATTTATTACACAATTTTTAAATTATTTTTAAGAAAAACTGTCCCAGACGACTTTAAATTAAGTCGTTTGGACGACTTAGTTGAAAGTCGTCTGGGCAGACAACTTGCGAGGGCTAGAAACGTAAAAAAAAATATTTTTTTTTTGTTTGTTCACAAGGGGTTGATTGTAATTTCAATAGCCTTTTAAGTTATTTTTGGATTTGATTCAAGTTTGAGTTTACTTTTACATTTCAAATGAAGTTTTGAATCATATTTGGCAATTTTTTTAAATTTTTATTTGTGTAATCAGACACATGACCTGCTGTTGGATATAATCAATAAAGTCCAAAACTAAAGCATAGTACATGATAAATAGAGACCATTTCCAATGGATACAAAAATTTTTACTTTTTATTTTTTGTAAATGGCTATAGAAAATTATTGATGAATCTTTGAAACTAAAATACTAAACTAAATTCTTGGGACCCATCCTCATATGAATAGACAAAAAAAAAAGAAAAATAATAATAATAATAATAATAAAAAAAAAAAATTCTTAGAACCCATCCTCATATGAATACAAAATTAGTTAATGAATCTACGAAACTAAAGAGACACGTTTCCAGATGGATACAAAATTTATTGATTTCTGTTACCAATGAAGTCTACGAAACTAAAATATTACTCACTCCGTTTCAAAAAAGTAAACATTTTAATTTTTTTATATATACATTAAAAAAATATAAAAAAATTTAATTATCAATGTATCATTTATTATAGATAATAATTTCTTATATTTTTTAAACAATAAAATTTTATAAAATACAATTAATATTTTTGAAATCTATAATTTTCATTAAATTGTACATTAAAATATAAGAAATACTTCTTTTTGAAACAAATATTTTTTCTAGAACTTAATTTTTTTGAAACGGAAAGAATAAATTAAATTCTTGGGACCCATCTTCATACGAGTAGTTAATGAATCTACGAAACTAAAGGACGGAACGGAACGTTGTTCAAAACAAAAAGAAAAGGACGGAACGGAACTAAATTCTTGGGACCCATCTTCAAATTAATACAAAATCAGCTAATGAATCTATGAAACTAAGACTGAAAAAAATTCTTGTTACCATCTATATAAATAACGCAAAAGAAAAACCTATATGTAAATATTAATATATAATTATTATTTTTTTCTTATAGTTGGTCAAACATATGCATATACAAGATGATACGAAAGAAGAGGTATATTAAAAAAAAAAAAAGGTATATACAAATTGTCAAATACGGACCCATCGTCGATTGGGTCTATAGTTATGGAAAGTTTTAAAATGATTTCACTTGTATCATATCTTCATGATAAGGTTTCATCTTCTCTGTTCTGTGACTGTGTAGGAAACAAAAGTGACTGTTCAGAATCACCTATTGTTTTGGTTGAATCTTCTCTTGCTTTGCCCCAGATCACAGTATAAAATCCAAAGCTCAATATCACTGATCCAACCACACTGCCACAACACATAGATACAAAATAATATGTACTAACCATTGAATCTTATTACCAAACAACCAAAAATCTAGAGACACTATAGTTGAAAGTAAGAATATGAAAGATAATGGTACCTCCCTAGGTGAAGTGCATCTCCAAGGAATATAGAAGCCATGGCAACTGCAATGGCAATAGACAAGGGCTTGAACAAGGATACATAGACCGGACCCTTCAAATGCAGGCCCCATGTGTGGATAACTGAGCCCAATGATGTATCAAAGAATCCCTGAAACAGAGTTTCAGCTTCAAAGCTTGAGACAAGAAGATAAGAGTATGTACTTTAAGAGAGTTATATTGTTTGATTACTCACCGAGTATATGACTGCAACTAGTGAGACTCCCGGTTTAAGCTTCCAAGAATTCAAGTCTCTTTCTGCAAATAAACATACTAGCGCTGAGATTAGCGTTGCACACATGTTGTAGAAGAGGACTACGCTTATTTCTTCAGGGTATATCTCCATGATCTGAGTCTGAAATCATGTATAGCTGCGGAATTTAGCTCAAATTTATTTTACCAACATACCTAAAACTTCAATTTAATGTACTACCTGAAGAATATACCAGACTGAAAGAAGCAAATACTGTAAAGCTAGCAAAAGGCCTCCAATGATCCAACTTGGCTCGAATGAAGTAAAAGATGTAGCAACAAGAAGCTTTGGGCCTTTATAAAGAACAATAACAAGAGCACCAGATATAGATACTATCGTGCCAATGATTTTAGCCTGTGTTGCAGAGCTTCTTAACATTATTTGTTCCATCCTTTACGAGTCATCCCGGGAAGCAAAAACCACTTAGATGAAAAGATTGCTATAGCAACACACAAACCTCATTTTCCGAAAAAACAAAGAAGAAAGATGGAACCTGAAGAAGACGGCAAGCATGAAGGTGAAAGCTGGTGTGAGGTTGCTTATAGCAGAAGAAAGAGTTGGGGAACTATATTCTATTCCTTTACAACCAGCTATCCGCGAGGTGAGCCTGTTTTGGCCAAGTTAGCAAACTAGCAAAAGAAAACGAAAAGCTGAAGAATACTCTCATAAATCTTGAAACAGTTACCCAAGAAGCGTAAGTAAGAAAATCTTGAAGAAGAGAGGAGACTTGGCTGAAGGTAATCTTCTCTTCCTGCATATGTAAAGTTAAGTTACATATTCTTGAAAAGTATTATACTATATTGAATAAAGATTTAGTTGAGAAGATTAAACACCTTCCAAAGATGAGGGAAAGTGTAAATAGGACAAGTGTAGCAACAACATAAGAGTAGAAGACAAAGACATAAAAACTGAATCCTCTCAAAGTCGCCGCTTTGAACAGTGTGGATGATCCAACCGTGGTACACTCCACTGCGATCATTGCCGCAAAGGGCACAACATCTCGGCTGAAGTACCTCCACGCCACTGTTTCTCTCATGATATCCAGATTCTCAGAATATTCTCTCAAGTTAACTAAGGATTCATGATCTTTGTTATTAACATCACCAGGGTTGTTGCTAAATTGTTTTTATTTAAAACCAAGACTTTTTCTCAGTGCAGGAAAATATCTTAACTTGACCATATACTTACACCACAAGAATAATATCAGAATATTATAAGGACCCACGACAAGGACCTTCGCCCATTATACGCTACAATACTTTCAGCACAATCATTCAATTAAAAAAATTTCTAACTTTCATTTAAAAGTTTCGAATGGCCATGACTTATGTACTCAATCTTATATGCCTCAAAATACTAACCAAAAATTAACAGAAACCCCTTCGTATACGTTATTATTTATATAAACATCTCACCAGAAATAAGAAGACATATCAATAAACATGTACAGGGACCATCTTGGCATCTTCTATAAGAGATCCATACTTGCAAGTATAGTATAAGGACCCCACCTGAATCAATAATGCCTTTGTTGCATCTAGGCGTGGCCGCGTGGGTGTGGATCGAAAAATACCACAATTTTCAGTGTTTTTGATTTGCTTGTATTTTAATGATATCTGATTTTTCAATTTGTTTTAATTCGAACTAGGTGTTTTGCCCGCACTTACGGGCTTAATAATTTTACTAATATCTATAATAAATATATAAGTAATTTAAGTAAACTATAATAAATTATTCTTTATACACTCAAAATATTTAATAATAAACTAAACAAATTCTCTATATATAATCATATAAATAATGAGATAAATATTTTATAACCCAATATAAATAGTTTTAGATAAAGATAAATCTAAAATCATTGAAAATCGTTTTTTATGTTTAATTATATATTGAAAATTTTAATTATTCATTAAGGGTATAAACGATATTAACCAGTCTAACTTTTAACGTGGGAGCTCCGTTGCAAAAATCACTTCGCAAATAATAGTATAGATAAATACCAGAATTTTTTAGATATTTACGAATATTTAAAAATATCTCATGCACTTTGTTTAATATAAGCAAATTTAAACAAAAAAATATAAATTTGTTTTCTAAAACTATCTTTTTCATAATGTAAAATAAAAAAGTGAAACTATATGTTCCACAAATTTATAAAACTAATCAAATTTTTACGGAAACACAAAATTTAAGAAAATTGTAATTTTTATAAAGATTTGATATTACTTTTTTTTTTAATTTAATACCTTTATAAGTAAATTTATAAATGAAATTATAGAAAATTATACATTTAAAACTATATATTTAGTTATATATATACATCTCTTTGTATAAAAGTTGGAACGAATAAGACTCTAAAATTTATTCTATTTGTGATTTGTTTCATTTTAACGAATACTAAATTTTAATATTTTTTTTACTTTGCTTTGATGAGTGACGAATATCTAGATTTTAAGTATCAAATCGAAACAAATATATCGAATCAAATTCAACGGATAAAATAGTCAATTATAATTGCATCATCTCTTTCTTTTTCCCAAATCACTCTGTAGAATCCAGTGCACAATATAATTGAACCAGAAAACACTACCCACAACATATATATATGGCAAAATCAATATCGGTTACTACTATCTAAAAAACATATTGCAGTTTATACGGTGACATACCATCGAAATGTGGAGACTTTCCTCGTACCCGAAAATAATACATACTAGATTTTGACCAGCGCTTGAAAAGCGCAGAAAATTTTTATGATTAAAAATTTATATAGTTGGGTTTGTCTTAATTTAAAGAATGTTTTGATATAAAATTAGTTTAGCAAAATTTGTGGTGATAGTTGTTTTTCATTATTTTTTAATTTCAGTTTTTATTTTTAAATTTTGTTTTAAATTTTGGTTTTTGATTTTCATCTTTTGGTTTGAATTTTTAATTTTTACACCCGCTGAGTTAGTTTGAAATGATATTACCAACAAACAAATCTCAATTAATCGAATATGTAATTTAAAACTGAAAAAATGACACAATAATTTTCCAAAAATTTTGAAATAGTTTATTTTGTAAATAAAAGAAAAACAAAAATATAACATGCGTTTCAGCTTTTGGTTTTGGAGTTTAGTTTTTAGATTTGGTTTTTGGTTTTGCTTTACATTTTTTTTTAAATCTGTAAATTATTTAAGAAAACTAAAAAAATAAATTATTTAAAAGTTACCACTAAAATTTATCAAGATAGAGTGATTGTTATTTAAAATAAAAAATATTAACATGTTTAAAAATACATGATTTAAATAAGTGATTAATAATAGATAATTTTGTTTTGTTGAAAATATTAAATATTTTTGGGCTAAAATATGTAACATGTTTTAAAGTATATGATTTAAATAAGTGATTAATAATAGATAATTTTGTTTTGTTGAAAATATTAAATATTTTTAGGCCTGAAAATAGTAATTGATTTTTGATCCATTAAGGTGGAAAGTTTATTTAATGTTTTTGGAGTTTTTCTTTAATACTAAGTCCAAAAACCAAACAATTAAATATCATAAAAACAAAAGTAAGCCCAAAAATCTATTCCATAAATAACCGCCGGTTTAATTTTTAGTAATGCGGTTCAATCAACTATATAACTTGTATTATTTGTAACACTCTAGAAATGGTCTAAATTTAAATGACAACTTGTATCTGTAGATAAAAAGAATGACTCTATTTTAATAGAATAGATGTAAGCGTAGTGCATCCACAATAGCAGTATGACAAACTTATCTTCCCATCAAATAAATGCGAGATTTTGAAGAAAAAAAACTACAAAGCAAAATGTGAAAACATTATTGTGTAAGATATATAACAAAAAAAAATAGACTATGAGGTATATCTTGTGATGGTTTACAAACTACTTAGAGCTTAATTGGTAGAATATTAACATAAGCATTATGTTTTCGATTATTTAATCAATTTTTGTCTAAGAAACATTTAGAAAGCATTTATCAAATGCTATTGCTCTCCAAATGATCTTTACTCAATACTCTCATATAGTGCTTTTGGGAGAGCATTTGCATTTAGAATATATAAAACTTAAAAAACAATGATATATAATTAATTTATTTTTATATAATAATATAAAAATATTTTTCTAATAAAAAATATTTCTATTTTAAAAAATAAAAAAATTTTTTATTGTTAGATTTATTTTTAAATGTAATAAAAATATTTTTATAATAAAAAATATTTTTATTTTAGAAGTAAACCCAAACTTGAATCAAATACAAATTAACTTAAAAAACTATTGAAATTACAAACAACCTCTTGTGAACAGACAAAAAAACCAAATTTATTTTATGTTTCTAACCTATGCAAGTCGTCTGTCCAGACGACTTTCTAGTAAACGTAATATGAATCATTTACTACTCTACCAATAACTAAATAATAATAATTTATATATAAATTATTAATTAATTTAGTAATATTAAAATATGTTTATATCCAAAAATAATTTTCTATTTTAAAAATAATAATATTTCACATATAAAATATAATATAATTTATATAATGAATAAGATTAATTATTTTTAATTAAAATATCTTATTAATATATATTATAATTATGTAAATATTATTTTAAAATAAAAATATTATCATACTAACTATTATGATAATTTTAAAATTATATACTACTACTGCTCTACCAATCATTTTGTTAAAAAACTTAATGAAAACATACAGTTTCTGCAGCATAAAACTTCTGCAGCATACTGCTTCTGCAGTATACTACTTCTATAGCATACTGCTACTGCTTTTTCATCTATTGTACCAATCAAGATCTTAGAGTTTGATCAACACATATATTATTCATTTTTATAAATTTGATATATATTTGGTCTATATGACATAATCATTATACATTATGGATATTTTATATTATATATTTTAATAATATTGTTGTTCTTATGTCTTACTTGTCACAGTTGATATACATTAATATTTCTATTTTATACGTAATTTAATTTTTAACAAATATTAGTGAATAATCAATATATTATTGCAATGTTTGGTAAAAATTATTTTACAATATTTTAAAAGAGAAACATCTTCTGAAAATAACTTTAAAAAAATATTACATATATTTCATTTTAAATTTATTAGCTAATGTCATGATTCATCATTTATATATTATATTTATATTTCTAAATTTTACATATATATATATATATATATATATTTCTATTAAAATTATTTATCATATTTTAATCAAATCCAGACTTTATTTTTATATAGAATCTTAACTAGATTTTATTATATTAAAGTTTTGAAATATTTTATCTCCAAACAAAATTGAATACAATTAGTCAAATCCAGAATTTATATTCAATTTTGTTTGATTATATTATGATAAATTATTTTAATAGAAATATATATTTGTAAATTTAACGGATGAATCAGTTTATTAGATATAAATTAACTGAGTTTTGTTAGTCTAAATATCTCACATGGTCTCGTAGTCAAAGTTTCAATTGTCATAGAATCACAATAGAAAAGCTGAGAAAATGTGATAGTTGTTTCTAATGTGACAGTTGTTGCCAGTGTAAGCTATGTTTTCTTTTTGGTAAGCTATGTTCCCATCTCTTCGTTAACTCTCTTTGCAACACTATTTGCTGTTACACGCCTTGGTTGCGTGTGCAACCTATTCTACCATTTATAGTGCAACCATCCTCGTGAAGTTAGTGCATACGCTGACAACAATTTTGAAGATCTCGTCTTAGCTGTAACATGGTCTTTGACTTTACTAACTCACTCATATAACATGGTATCACATGGTTCTCTCTTATAACATGCTACGACTTATCTCTAACATGAAATATTGGAAGGTATTGTCCTAGCTGTAACATGGTCTTTGACTTCACTAACTCACTCATAGCGACAATGTTGAGAGTATGCCTCACTGTTATTATAGAGGTCTTAAATTAATTAGCATAGAAATATATTGCTGGTTTATGATATGTAGTACAAAGATGTTTGTGAAATATATATGTACGAGCGTTCCAAAAAAGATGAACTTTTCATGTGGAAGGCTCTCTCTAGTTGCATGACGACGTGATAAAAACTCACTTATAGAAATATGGGGTACAAACATGAGTTGTTCAAAATATGGTGTTGCAATAGAGTTTATTAATCATCTTCTATTTGAATGTCCACCATCTTTACAGATTCTTTATTGGACTATATATCCTTAGCTGCTTTTTGAATGTATCTTTATTGGATTATATGTCCTTGGTTGCTTTCTGAACTCCAACAAAAGTGATTCTAGCGCAGAATGAGTGGGTGCAACACGGATGCAGTTTGGAGATCTGACCTGAAAGCGGCGAGATTAGGGTGGATCTTCACTAATCGAGCCGCTCAGGAACTTCACAGAGCATCTGCATCCCACCAAAACATCTCTTCCCCTTGCATGGTGGAGGCACTGGCGATTAGAGAAGCTCTGACCCATGCATCGAATCTCAACTACACGCATCTCTGTCTCCGCACGGATTTACAAGAGCTCGCAAGAACAATCATAGCGAGAAGAGGACAGATGGATCTCTATAGCATCCTATCGGACATCGACTCATTGGCGTTTTCCTATTTTTCTCTGTTCATCTTGTGCTCTTTCACCTTCATCTCACGGACTTGTAATGGGTTAGCGGATCTACTTGCTAAATCATGTCTTTCTTCTTTTGATATGGGCCTGAGGCCATAACCCCATCTGCATGTACTTTTTTTTATTTAATGAATTACTAGATTTTTGATCCGTGTTTAAAAAGGACGGATACCATTTTTGTTGTTTATCTACAGATGAATCGATAAATTTTTTTTTTGCTATAATGATATAAAATGTTCTTATCTAATATAATTTTCTAAAATTATTGTAGATTTGAATTTATTATTATCATCAATATCTATGTATTATATATAATTGTGTAATTTTATTTTGGAAAAATAATATCAATTAATTATGCTTGGTGTTGGGAATCGGGTCAAACTCGCCCTTCCCGACCCGCCTGACCCGCAAAGAAAATAAATTTTATCCATATCCGACCCACTTAATTTTATGGATAATCCGCGGAACCTGCGGATAATTATTCATAATAAAAATAATTATTTTTTAGTTTTTTTCTAAAAAATAATATTAAATAGTATATTTTTAGTTAAATTTTTTTTTTAATATTTATTTTAACGAAATTTAGTATATTTTTGAAAAAAAAAATTAATTTTTTTTTTTGCAGATTACCGGATACCCACCATTGAAATTAGAACAATCCGCGTCCGTCCGCGTAAAATATATTTGAAATGCATCCGCACTCGCAACTTAGTTTTTTAAAATATCGATTGATCCATTCTATGGTGGATTGAATGACCAGGACCTGCAGGCTAATAATTAGAAGATGAATTTTACCCATTAACAAAACCTATTAATATATAGTTTTTAGGTCCAAAATAAAAAGACCAAATTGTCATTAATGAAAAATTAAATTTATTCATAATATTAAGGGTATTTTTGAAAAACATAAATTTCTCATTCAAGGAGCTATAATGTTTTAATGGAATGATCCAGTTGCCAAAAAAAAAAATAGGAAGAGAATGAGGATCCCGCTAATCCTTCTAAATTACTTGTTGATGCCAAAATCCCGACTTGTCAAATCAATGCTTCATGGATCAATCATGGCTCAAATAGATGTTTAAGGTGGGTCCCAAGGATCAAATTGGAGCTGAATCATTTGGACATACATGTTTGCAGTAGAAGATCTCGACTTTACATGCTAAGATGGAATAATTTCTCTGGGTAATGTTGTGTGCGAGAGATATGCATACTCTCTCTCTCTCTGAAGCGAGCTTGATTGCTGAGACTTGGTGGATATGAATACAAACCCGATCGATTGGCCAGGCCTTTGCCGTGGAGATAGCTTTGTTTCTTTTTTTACAAGATAATTTTGAGGAGGATAGAACCAAATGCGTAATTTTTCTATGTAAGTCAAAATGGCTACTTAGAATTGTTGCTCTTAATACCTTCTGCTGAATCAGCTTTTGAAGAACTTATTAACTGAAGCATTCTCATGGAAAGATGAAATCTTTTAGCTCTGCTTTCGCCCATGGCATCAACTGAGCTTTGTTTTAATATGCTTTAAAATCCATCTATGCATCATTGTGTTAACGTAAACCAATCCTTTTAGTGAATATTTAAAAGTGGTATATTGTGCAATTTTTTTTACAAATCAATAGTATAAGGACTATCACTTGCACCAATCCTACAAGTCTTCGTCTCCAACGACGTGTGTAAGCAGCAAAGGTGAATGCTCAGAACCAGCTACAGATTTGGTTGAATCCTCTTTTGCTTTGCCCCAAATTACAGTGTAGAACCCAAAGCACAATATCACTGATCCAATAACACTGCCCACAACAACAAAAATTGGTGAGATCTAAATCAGTTATTACTTTATCAACAAGCTTCTTAGATAGATAAAATTCATTACATGTTATGAATGAAGAATATAAAAGATATGGTACCTCCCAAGGTGAAGTGCATCGCCGAGAAATATAGAACCCATGGCAACTGCTATCGCGATAGACAATGGCCTAAACAAGGATATGTAGACAGGGCCTTTCAGATGTAGGCCCCATGTGTGGGTAACCGCGCTGAACATTGAAACGAAGAGTCCCTGAGAATAACGTGATAGTTGTTTAGCATAATATAACATCATCTTCAAGTGTTAGTTGATGCTCACCGAGTATACGATTGCAGCGAGGGAAATATCTGGTTTAAGCACCCAAGAAGTCAAGTTGCTTTCCATAAATAAGCACACTGGTGCTGAGATTAGCGTTGCAAATACGTTGTAGAAGAAAACTACTCTTATTTCTTCAGGGTATTCCTCCATAACCCGAGTCTGAAACCAGATACAGCAACCGAATTTGAAAAAGAGCTTCATGTGTCAAGAACAACCTAAAGTATTTTCTTATGAACTTTTCAAGTGTCTATATACCTGAAGAATATACCAGACTGATAGAAGAAAATACTGAGAAGCAAGCAATAGGCCTCCAATCATCCAACTTGAATCGGGCGAAGTTAAATGCTGGTCACGCAAAATGGGTTGAGATGATGAAGGTGTAAAAGATGCACCAGAGAGAACCTTTGGGCCTTTATATAGCACAATTACTAGAGCACCAGATATAGATAGTATTGCGCCAATGATTTTAGCCTGACTCGCTGAGCTCCTTAACCTTACTTGCTCCATCCTTTAAGAGCCACACAACGAACCAGTTAGAAGCAGATAGTAACAAACAGACTTCACGATAGACTCTGTGACCACTAATTCAAGAACTTCGAATTTTACTTTGCTAATCATAGTATATATTTATAACATGAGAAGTTATCTGTACTTTCTTTTATTGTTTTGCCCCCACTGATGCCACGTCTAGACTACTAGTCTCAGAACATGAGAAGTAAACCCACAAAAGCTAAAAGGCTTCAAATTTCGTATGGTTAATTACTGTGTAATCAACCTTTCTTATTTTCCAGGCTATTTTTCTCAAAACAGAGAAGAGAGAGAACAAGGTAAAACCTGAAGATAACGGCGAGCGTGAATGTGAAAGCTGGCGTGAGGTTGCTGATAGCAGAAGCGAGAGTAGGAGAACTGTACTCTATACCCTTACAAGCAGCTATCTGCGACATGAACCTGTTCCATAAAAGTTAACAACACAAAAACCCTTTAATATAGACACAGTCATATAAAAAGGTTTTTTTTTTTATGAATACAAATTTAACATTCATTAAAAAACAAAAAAGCAGAAATGCAGAAATGCCCTTTAATCAAGACGCAGGAGTGTAGTATTATTACCCGAGAAGCCCAAGTATGAAAATCTTGAAGAAGAGAGGTGACTTGGCTGGAGGTAAACTTCTTGACCTGCATATTTCAAAGATAATTTAATATTCTAGAAAAAAGCATACGGGGTAAAAAGAGTGGATGGAGAGATCAGGTACCTTCCAAAGATGAGGGAAAGTGGGAGAAGGAGAAGTGTCGAAACAAGATAAGAGTAAAAGACAAAGACATAGAAGCTCAATCCTCTTAGAGATGCAGCCTTGTACAGTGTGGTCGCTCCAACAGTGGTACACTCCACCGTAAACATGGCAGCAAACGGCAGAACATCTCTGCTAAAGTACCGCCACGCCACTGTTTCTTCTCTAGCTCCTCCCATCACAGATTCTCTTGGTATCTCAGAAACTCTCTGGAATCAAAGTGAATGTAGACGCAATCATGGTGTTGATTAACTCGCACTACCACGAATATATTATTTAGAAACCAAGATATTTTCAGTCATGACATCACTAGTATGGAAATAGTCTTCCTCCATAATATAAATATCAACACTTGACATTTTAATTGTATTTGAAATGCTTGGGACCCACGATAAATAAGTTTTGCCATTTGTTTTTTTTTTTTTGCCATTTTAATCTTTAAAATTTTAAATACCTTCAGAAAAATATCTCTAACGGTTTTCTATAATGTTTTCTTAAAATTTAAATGAAGGTTAGCAAAAAGGAAAAGAGAGTGATTAAAAAGGAAAAAGAACCGACGTGGAACCTCTGTATATGTATAATGTATATAGGCTGGCAGAAAACAGATTCAGCAACAAGATATTAGGACAAGGGTAGAGCTGGCGTCAAGCAGTGGAATGATGAAAGAGCTTCCAAGCATGACCATAAGTCAGCGCGAGCAGTTTCTGGTGTTAAACGATGTCTTTCGGATATACAGTGACTTTGACGCCTGCGACATTGCTACTCAGAAATTCACGTACAATCGATTGTTTCTAATTTGTGCTTGATTTTACTTTTTTCTTTTGATTCCATAAGACGAATCCTACTAAAGAAAGTTGTTGTTTAAGGGTGGAGATTCAGCGAGGCAAGCAGTTGGATTATCTGACGAATGGCTTAAGGTAGCTAGGCCCATCGTTGTCGTCCTTAGATGCTAAGTAGGTCTCTTCTCTTTGTAGTTGAAGTTCAAAGTTATGTTCCTCGAACACTCTTCATTTAGACAGTCACTATGTTGTCGTTAAGAAAACTTATATAGGTGTTCTCTTTGAAGCTTGCACATGTTTTGTTAGAAATTCACATGTTCAAAATCAAGAGTATTTTTATTAAGTTATATATTTTTTTTTTTGGACAGTCGACCATGGCTTTGCTACTGGATTCTCCATTCAATTGGTTTGCTTGGAGAGTCTGTGGACGATGACCTAGAAAACAATACCATAGACTTTCTTAGACACTGTCAGGTAATGTCGTATTTCAAGCTACTTTGTTTTCTTAGCTGTCTAAGCCAATTGTGGGAAATTTCTGAATATCTCATTCAATTTATTTGTTTCTCTGCTCCTCATGTTTTTTCTCATAGTTTTCTTTAATGCGTTGCTTGCCACGGCTCTGATGGCGGATACGGTGGTGGTCCTGGCCAAGTAAGAATATGTCTATTTCTTCAAAACTTGTGGATTAATATCAGTTCATGTGTCTGGAAACTTAAAAAGAAGCTTCTGCTAGATCTCTCATGGTTTAATTTTTTAAGCTGGCTTCCTAAAAAATTTCTATCGTCAACTAGGAATGAATGTCTTTTCTTCCTAGCTTTCACATCTTGCAACAAGTTATGCTGCAGTGAATACACTTGTTACTTTAGGCGGTGACAAAGCCATTCGTTTTTTTTCCTAGGATCAGTTAATTTTCAATAACTTGTGACTTACACATGTGACATAACTTTCAGAGAAAAAATGTCTAGCTTTTTAAGACGAATGAAGGATCCAGATGGAGGTTTCAGGTTTGATTTTTGAACTGAGAACACTCTTATGTATTCTTATTCCTGTTAATTTCTTAGCTTAAGTCATGTTGGTTCGTCAATTGTTGCTTGTCTCTTTTTCTATTCCATGCAATTTGTTGACACCACTTAGTCCCTGCTCGTTAGGGTGCATGATATGGGAGAAATGGATGTGCGAGCGTGCTACCTTGCGATTTCGGTGAGTTTTATCAAATTCCAGTTTCTTTTTTTTTTTTCACTTTTTGGGGACACCAAAACTTGTTAGGCTCAGTGAAACCAACAACTCAGGGCCCATTTCGCTACGTTTATTCCATTTCATGGCTGGCATTAGTATATGGTTAATGGTCTAATTATTTGCACACTTGCACTTAAAAGTCTTGCCTCCTACGGTTAGTTTTTTTTCCTTTGATATGTTTGACTTCTCTTCTGACACAGATAGCAAGCATCCTGAACATTGTGGATGACGAACTCACCCGAAGCTTAGGGGATTACATCTTGAGGTAGCCATTCGTGTTAATCTTCAGAGATGCACTGTTGTTACATAGTTGTAAGTCCATGCAAAGCTCTTTTACCTCGCTTTATTTCATGCAGTTGCCAAACTTATGAAGGTGGCATTGGAGAGGAGAACCTGGCTCCGAAGCTCACGCCGGGTATGGTCTCCTACCTACTTCACTCTTCCTCGATGACGTGGTTATTCATGGCTTACTATAATTTAGTTTCCTTATCTGTTGAGCTGTTACCTTCGCTTATTACCATGTAATTTGTTGTTTAGGAACACATACTGTGGGCTGGCTACTATGGCTTTAATCACTGAAGTCGACCCGCTTGAACTTAGATTCATTAATGGTAACATACAATCTGCTTTGAGATGATTACTGAAATACCTTTCCTTCTTACAAATTAATATTCTGATCATACTAGAATTGGGTTGTACATCAACAAGGAGTAGAATGGGGCTTTCAAGGTCGGATGAACAAGTTGTTCGATGGCTGCTACACATTTTGGCAGGTCATCTTCTATTTCTCTTTGTATTTTTCATAAGCTTGTTTATGTGTTTCCATGAATACAGGTCTAGTTCATCACCTAACGTTAATATTTTTTTCCCCGGTACATCTTACTTAAACAGGCAGCCCCTTGTGTTCTACTACAGAGATTTTATTCAGCCCATGATCTGGTACTTCATGGATCATTACATATGTCCCAAGCGAGGGATGAAGATCACGAGGAACATGCTCATGATGAAGATGATCCTGAAGACAGTGATGATGATGATTCTGATACGGACAGCAATGACGGTTTGGTCTTATCTAAAATTCTAAAAGCAAACTGAATTTAGTTAGCTTTGTTTGAAGATTCTAGGAGGGTGCAACCGGTTTTTGACAGCTTCAACTTGCAGAGATGTGTAATCTTGTGCTCTATGGTCAGTTCTTAGTTGCTTTAACACAAAAACAAGTCATCCAGCCAAGTTTACACATGCAACACAGACAGCTGTCTGCTGATTTACTTGGACATCTATGTTATTTTTTAAATATTTTCTGCATTGGCTCTTAGGTTCCTGAAGGTGGATTCAGAGATAAGCCGGTGAAACCCCGTGACTTCTACCACACATGTTACTGTCTAAGCAGTCTCTCTGTGGCTCAACACGCTTGGTCAAAAGACAATGATACTCCAACTTTGAATAGTGACATTTTGGGTGGCTATGTTAATCACCTTGAACCTGTTCACCTCCTCCACAACGTTGTCATGGATCGATACAACAAAGCCATCGAGTTCTTCCATAGAGCAACATAATCTATGCTCGCTCAGATATGGGAAACTCCTAAGCCTGATGGTATTAGAGAGATCTGGTTGTGTTGCATGTGCAACTTTTGAACAGAAGTTGTAGGGAATGTATTCAATTAGAAATTTGAGGTGATTTGTATTAAAATGGAAAATTCACTGTTATTCAAACATAGATTTAAAACAAAACAAAAAACACTTTAAAATCTAATTTTATTGAACTTGTTATTTCTTTAAACACTCTGAATCCATGGTTATTGAACCAAAATAAGTTGAAGACTACTAACCCTTAAACTAACAGTTTAATTATAAATAAAACCACTAAAACTAATTAATCCTAACTTTCAGCATTAGTTATCATTTCATTATATATATATATATAGTTATTCTATAATCATAACTAAATTTTCCTTAATGATATACAATCAATTAATGCTATATGTGGTCATAATTAATAATTGTTTCCAAAAAAATAACATAATTTTACCCATAATTAATTGTATATACAGATTAATACAAATACGGTAATAAGATATAAATAAATATATGATCATTTTATTGTATCATAAATATCAAAACATATCAATTTTCCATGTCCAGAAATAAGTAATCCATTTGTATTATATATAACAACTATTTTTAATGTTTATTATATGCATAATATAAAATTGAACAATTTATTATTTATTTTATTACTAATAATTTTATATGCTATAAAATTACATGCAATAAAAAACCACATTCAATATTACAATAAAATAGTATATAATAAAAAGCGAAACAACATTCAATACAAAACTAACAGTTTAATTACGATTAATGCTACTAGAAACTAAATATCAAAACATATCAATTTTCCATGTCCAGAAATAAGTAATCCATTTGTATTATATATAACAACTATTTTTAATATTTATTATATGCATAATATAAAATTGAAATACAAAAAGATAAAACTTTAAACAATTTATTTATTTTATTACTAATAATTTTATGTGCTATAAAATTACATGCAATACAAAACGACATTCAATATTACAATAAAATAGTATATAATAAAAAGCGAAACAACATTCAATACAAAACTAACAGTTTAATTACGATTAATTGGTAGGAAAAGTATGGCTATTAAGACAGATATGTCCAAAGCCTATGATCGGGTTGAATGGAATTTTCTTGAAATTTTACTTGAAAAAATGGGATTTGATCGGAAATGGGACGTCGTTTGGATTATGTCATGTATTTCCATTGTTACTTTTGTCAGTGTTACTAAATGGCAGATCTCATGGATTCATTAAACCTGAAAGAGGAATACGTCAGGGGGATCCTTTATCACCTTTTTTATTTATTTTATGTGATGAAGCATTAGTACATGTTCTAAATAGAACTGAAGGACAAGGAAAGTTACATGGTGTAAAGTTAGACAAAGATAGTCCTTCTGTGCATCATCTGTTATTTGCGGATGATAGCTTACTGTTATGTGAAGCCTCTATCAAGGATAGTGCAGAAATTTTGAATTGTTTGGAACTTTATGGGGCGGCTTCTGAACAAATGATTAATCCTTCAAAGTCTTCTATCATTTTTGGGAAAAGCGTCACTGACGATACAAAACAGGATATCAAGAGAATTTTGGGTATCGCAAGGAAGGAGGGGAAGGTACATATCTTGGCCTCCCTGAATGCTTTCAGGGATCCAAAAAAGATCTGTTAAATTTTATCAAAGATAAATTAGAAGGTAGATTACAAGGTTGGTATTCCAAAACCTTATCCATGGGGGCTAAGGAAGTTTTAATAAAATCGGTTGTTTTAGCTCTCCCAATATATGCAATGTCAGTGTTTCGCCTACCGAAAGGTCTTTGTGAACGACTTACGAGTGCGATTATTGAATTTTGGTGGAGTAGTGGGGATAAAAAAAGGAAAATCCCCTGGGTGGCATGAGAAAAATTATGTAAACCAAAAGAACAGGGAGGTCTCGGGTTCCATGATATTGGTCGTTTCAACCAGGCTTTACTTGGAAAACAAGCTTGGCGAATTTGGAATAATCCTGATTCTTTGGTCTCGCGCATTCTTAAAGGCAAATATTTCAAAAATGGGAATTTTTTGGACTGCGGCATGGGCACACGGCCATCGTATGCATGGAGAAGCATCATGCATGGTAGAGAATTACTAAAAAAAGGTTTATATCAACATATCGGCAATGGGGTTTATACCAATGTTTGGGCGGAAAACTGGATTATCGATACCATTCCTCGGCCACCAATGTACCGGGAAAATAGTTCCATAATTCTAGCGTTAAAAGTTTCCGATCTCTTTATTCCGGGCTCGAATCAGTGGAATACTACTTTATTACATCAAACTTTTACGGCAGAGGATGCTCAACGGATTTTAATTTTGAAACCATCATTGATAGTTGACGATACACTCAGATGGGGTTTCACAACGAGTGGTTCTTATTCGAATAGGAGCGGGTACAAGCTGTTAGAAGCTTTGGTTGAATATGATCATCCCTCAGGTCATTCCCTCACTCCTATTGAAAAACAATTATGGAAGGAGGTATGGAAAGTTAAAGCTCCACCAAAAATAAAACATTTTATGTGGCGGGCTCTATCTGGTGCTCTAGCGGTGAAACAATGTTTGGCTACTCGGGGTATCCCGATAGACCAAACATGTTCGGCTTGCGGTACTGAGGCAGAGAGTATATGTCATGTGCTTTTTACATGTACGAAAGCACGCATAACATGGCAGCAAGCTAATTTTCCATTACCTTTAAATGGCTTTTTTCGGAACTCAACATTTTTAAATTTTGTTCACCTAATTAAGAATGCCAAAAACACAGCAATGGATATTCATACAAGGAATGTTTTTCCATGGTTGTTATGGGAAATTTGGAAAGCAAGGAATAATTTTGTTTTCCAAGACAAAGCTACTGAGTCTTCTTCTATTGCTAAGAAAGCCTTTGAAGAGGAATCAACATGGTTTGATACATTCACTGACACAAAAGTGAATGTCGATGATGCTCCTCCAGCAATGATTCGATGGAAAAAACCTCCCCATGGTTTCCTAAAATGGAATGTTGGATCTTCATGGTTAAGTCTGAATTGCATTAGTGGTGCTTCTTGGATCCTACGAGATGAAAATGGATGTACACTCATGCATTGTCGGCGTGCTTATTCTTATATGCGTACAAAAGCAGAGGCCGATCTATGGTCTCTTTTATGGGCTGTGGAATGCATCCACAACTTGCATTTCTCGAATATTATTTTTGAGACTTCCTCCGAGGACCTCCATGACGCTTTCAGTAATCTGGATAACCATCTCAGTCTCAGTCTTGTCCGCCACAATGTCTGCTTTCTGCTATCCAAGATTGTTCTCTGGAGTCTAGATCACGCACTCCAAGAACGGAATGAAGCTGCTGTCGCTATTGCTATAAGTGTCACTCGCGATCACCGCCACCAGTCTTACCTCGCCAGCAATGCTCCTGTATGGTTACACCATCTGCTCGCTCTGGAGGCTCAGCATTTAACAGTTGGGTGAAGTTCTTTCTCCTTTTTGTTTTGATGTCTATTGACATCTCCTTTTTCTCTTATGATTTTCTATCATTTTGTACTGTCTCGAATATTTTTACGTCTCAGTGTTATAAAAAAGAAAAACTAATTAATCATAACTTTCATCATTAATTATCATTTCAACATATATAGTTACATTATATATCTTAAGAAAAAATTCGTAACATACAACTATTAATTTTATATGTGGTCAGCATTAATAATTGTTTCAAATGATAATATATTTTGACATAATTTTACCTGTAATTTAATTATATATATATAATACAATAATAAAATATAAAATTATTTTACCGTTTTGTAAATATTAAAACATATCAATTTTCTCTGTCCAAAAATAAGTAATCCCTTCATATTATATATAAGAGAGTTCTTTCAAAAGTGACTCAAAATTTTAAGTCAAACACAAAAGTAACTTATGCTTTCTTTAAAATTTTGTTTTATCCTATTCACCCTAGAAGTTTTAGTTATTCACAAAAATGCCATAAATTTTTTTTCGAAAATGATGTTTTTACTTTAACATCCTCATCATCACCAAGTATTTACAACTTTGCCATTGACATCAATACCTCAACCACCATGAACTACCAAATTGAGAGTATTAATACCCTAAAGTTTCAATTTTTTCTCATCCTTTCTCATTTTCTATCCACACAAACCAAACATCTTACACTTTCTCTCAAAATTCATTAAAAAAAACTGAAGATTTTGATTACAAATTATATAAAGGTAATAAGCTCGCAATTCTTGGTGATTAATGAGTAGATAGCTGTTGTGGTGAAATTCTGGGTGATTGGAGAAACCACGCAAGTCATTTCACGAGTTCAATGTATGAAATCGCGAACCACATTATATTTTTCAAATTTGTTCGACGAAGAAGACTTTTTAGAAGTCTTCTAAACGTCTTCTGGTCAATGCATAGGTTAGTTTTGCAATTGACCGTTTGTGTGTTTTTAATATAAGACTTCCTTAGAAGTCTTCTAACTTTCGTTTGTAAACAAAAAATTTCAAATTTCTATGAGAAAACTCCTTGAGAAATCTTCTCGGATAAACATGTTAGTTTTAAATTTGACCAAAGGTGGTCAGACGTTTGACTTTTTTTAGAAGACTTCTTTAGTAGTCTTCTAGGAGAAAACTTCTATATAAGTCTTCGAAAAGTCTTCTCTAAGTCTTCTCAATGCCGGAAGATGTCTACGTGGGTTACTTTTGCAATTGATAAATAAAAGTGAAAAATTTAACAAAAAGTACAAGTTTAATTCTGGGTTTTGGTCAAACCTTTGCCCGCGAGAGAAGACTTCTATAGAAGTCATCCTACGAAAGACTTCTAAAGAAGTCTTCTCTAGAAAAGTCAAATATAGTCAATTGCAAAAGTAACCCAGCAGACTTCTTACGACATTTAGAGGACTTCTTTTGAAGTAATCACCGGGTAGACTTCCCTAGAAGTCTT